AGGGCACTGAGGCGAGACGGACACCGTGTAATGCGGTGAAACCCGCTCCACCCCCAGGTATGTTCTGCTGTTTCTTTAGCACTTTTGGCCCTGCAGACTTTTAGACGAGTTTGTTTATTTTGTCCACTAACAATGTCCAACAGTGTATGTACAGTACCATTGAAGGGTCATTAAGATTATTTTAATGTTTTGAAACAAGTCTCTTATGCTGCAAGACTGCATTCATTTGATAAAAAATACAGTAAAATTGTGTAATTGTGATATATATATATATATATATATATATTATCATTAAACAACACATCTGCAATGATGAAATGTGTGTAACATTTTGTGACATTTTAAACATTTTTAATAAATAAAATGGCAGACTTTTTAGTCTTGCTAATGTTAATTTCATAGAGAGCATTGTATGTATTCAAAATACACAACATAAATATTTATTTTACTTTTTGCATTATTAAAAAAAAACTTTTAATGTGATCTTCGTATAAAAAATAAAAATGCTGAAATCTGTTAGTTTTAATATAAATGTTGATAAAGGTTTGAAGAAATACCTTGTTACTGTTAGCTCTCTGCAGAATAGACCATTTTTATGATTTTATAAACCCATGGTTTCTCATTTGTGACCCTTGACCACAAAACCAGTCATAAGGGTCAATTCGAATATTTAATCGAAATTGAGATGTATACATGACTGACCTCTGGTATAATGAGAGCAGCTAGCTCGGTGCCCTGTAAGGGTGGACCGGCAGGGGACAACCGAACCAGCTGCTCTAGAGACCTCCGCAGAGGTGGCAAGCCTCTTAGCACCGCTACGTTCCCGGGCGGTGACTGAGAGTGGCGCTCGCAGGAGACCGCTGCCCCCTGTAACTCCGGCAGGGTTAACAGACCGATCTCCTGAGGGCACTGAGGCAAGACGGAGTTTTGTTAGGATAGGACAACATTTGGCTGACTATTTGAAAATCAGGAATCTGAGGCTGCAAAAACAATCTAAATATTGAGAAAATCGCCTTTAAAGTTGCCCAAATGAAGTTCTTAGCAATGCATATTACTAATCAAAAATTACGTTTTAATATATTTACAGTAGGAAATTTACAAAATATCTTCATGGAACATGATCTTTACTTAATATCCTAATGATGTTTGGCATAAAAGAAAAATCAATAATTTTGACCCATACAATGTTTTTTTGGCTATTGCTACAAGGTGACTGAGAGTGGAGCTCGCAGGAGACCGCTGCGCCCTGTAACTCCAGCAGGGTTAGCAGAGCGATGTCCAGAGGGCACTGAGGCGAGACGGACACAGTGTAATGCGGTGAAACCCGCTCCACCCCAGAGGGGCCTGCCCTCATGAGTCCTGGGACAGTGGCGTGAGGACTTCTTGGCCGAGGAACTCTTAGTCTTAAGTACGGTCCGCAGATCCGGCTTAGACTTCGAGGCCCCCGACCCAGAGCATGTGAGGCAAGCTCTGCTTTTGTGCCTCCCTGTATGAGGAGCTGGTACTCGGAGGGGGCTGCTCCCGCCCGTCCGCCCCCAGAGCCGCTGATGTTGTACGTTAACACGCAGAAAACACTTGTCTAATTTAGTCTTCTGCGGCTCAGCCATTTTCTCTGTGGGCCAATCGATATTTAACTTGGCCACGGCACGAGTTACCACCTCCAAGAGCTCCTCATACTGTGGTGATTGAGGGGCCGAGTCCTCATCGACCTCCACCACATCAACCTCCTCGGAGGAAGACAGGCGGAGCGTCGAGCCCATTCCCCGGGGGGAAGTAACCACAGAACGGGCTTCCGATCCCAGAGAACGGGCGCTGGATCTGGCGGGTGAGGAAGAAGATAGGGACTCGCCCGTCTCCATTCCCTCCACCAGATCCATCTGCGAACCCCACGAGCGTAATCGCCGCTCCGCCTCAACGGAAGCGGGACCAGCCCAGCGGGGAACGCTAGAGAAGGCTCCCTCAGCAAAGAGAGCCTTCCGGGAGCAGAGAACATGCATCGAGCTGCATGCTCCGCTCCCAGGCAGACAACGCACAAACTGTGTGTATGCCCACCCGTAATATAACGCGGGCAGGGAGACAGCCTGAAACACTGCCTGCCCTCGTCCTTGCTTATGTGTTTCTTTTTGTCTTGTGCTTTTGACATTATGGACAAAACAACACCAAATAAGACTCACAAATGAATATCAGACTGACACACACACAGAGCGCTTGCTGAATGACAGAAAGCTGACGCCGATTCCACCGCATGTACTTTTATAGCTTCCTGGTCATTACTTCACCTGCCCGTGACGTCTCACCCATCTATTGGACTGATTACACATGGGGTTCAGAGCCAGTCACGCTGAAGGGCGTTCCCAAAGCGTCCTTCGACGCAGCTCAAGTTCCTGAAGAGGAACTACATTTAATTAAATTAATTTAGTTTTGGAGTAATGAAAAGCAAGAAAAGCCCCCATTTCCCCAGTGCTCCAACAGTCTTCCTTTAAATTTCTTAAAATCAGATTAGAGCTTTTTATGTTTAGAAGGTGCGTCAGAAAGTTTCTACTGGGAAATTCATTTATATGGTTTGGTTTTGAAGTGCCATTTCCAGCAGAGAAAAAGATGAGCTAATATATACCTTTGCTTTTAATATTTTCTGAATTGTACTGACCCAGTTAATTTATTGGGAATTACAGTTGCAAAAAAATCCAAACATCAGGCCACCGTGTTCATTTCGATGAGGATTTATTTTTTATCAAAGGCCTGTTTAATTATTTTGGGAAACGTAACAAGCTTAACTGCCTTGGTGTGCGTTCTCTCATTCCGGTTTCTCTACATGGCTATTAGCACAAGCTCTTCCTCCCTCTGGTTAGCCAGTCTGGAAGAAGGAGGATAGACGCTCATGAAATGAAGTCTCCCTACCTTTCATTTAGAAAGTGGAAGATTGTTAGTCTTTTTCTACCCATTTTCACCCTAGCCTTGAAGTGTCCTTCCTGAAGTTATGGATGAAACTGACAAGGTCTGCTCTTTTGATATCATTAAGCTCTGTGAGACTTGTATAATAGAGGGCTTGGATGGCTGCTGTGTCAGCTCTGAAGAAATGAAACTTCAAGGTGGCCCTGAGTCATGAGAGGCAAAGACTAGAGAGCCCTTGACAGTAACTCAGTCACGTCGAGACAGACAACTTTCAAGAGTACATTAGGGCAGTCTTTCTCATATCAGGGGCATCGGCCAATATGTGCTCCATGCCTTCCACTTCTGCTGCCATTTATACATTTACTGTAAGTTTTAATTTTTATTTAATAATTAAATTTGTAATATTACTAAATCATATTTACTAAATTAGATGTTATTTATGTATTTAAAGTAATTTTAAATAAAAACATGATTGATTTAAATAAAATGTATTGTTAATAATTATTAATAATAAATGTATGCATATATAAATAATTGATTTGTACATACATAATTTTATTCCCAAGAATTCCACTTCTTATGTTATGCATTTACTGTCAATTTTTATCATTATTTAATAATAAAAGTAGTAATAAAGCAATGTCAGTATTTTTATGTATTTAAAGTAATTTTAAATAAATAAAATTACAATTAAATTAATAATAATTATTAATAATAAATTGATCAATATATTTAAATGATTGATTTGCATATATATATATATACAGACACGCACACATACATATATAGTAATTAATTATTAAATACATTTAAATAAATGGGTAATTTAATCATTCTCATTTTAAGACTATATAATCTGTGATATTAATATTTTTTAATGTTTGATTTTAAAGACCCTTTTGTTTAATTTTATGATGAGGTCACCGCTTGATATCTGATGTTAAATATGAAGCAAGGAAGAGAAAAAAAATGAAGCAAGAAAGCGTTGAAAACCACTGCATTAGGGAACAGGTCATTCATTAGGTCAGGCCATTAAAATGTATGTAGGAAAACGACTTTATAAGTAACTTTATATTTAACTTTCACCTGAGGACAGCCATACTTTTTTATAATATATATTTGCATTTCACCTCTGATTTTAAAACTGCTGAATTTATAATGCGTTGCAGCATATAATATGTGATGTTCTGGACCGCCTCTGGGTGATGACTCCTTACCTGCACCGTCCAGGCTCCGAAATGACTTTATGAATATAAAAATGAATGACTGTCATCAGAGCTCCCCCTGGCTGACTATTTATTATTACTCACCGTAATTCGTACCTCACAGCAAGACTTAAAAGAGACTCATCCATCATAATGCCTGGAACTCATTGAGGAACAGAAAGGGACACGGACGAATAGCTCCATCATGCAGTTTCTGTGTATAAACACTAAACTGCTGAACTGCCAAAATGAGTTAACCATATTTTTAGAGAAGTGACTGTTAAAAAAAAAACAGTCTTTTAGAGACTTCATGCTTATGGTTCACCTTGGGGGATGTTTATCGGTCTCTTGGGACTTTTCACATTGAATGCAGTGGAGTGTATGACTCTCACACCTGTTTGGCCACGCTGCCCTTTGACTGTCTGTTCAAATGTTAATGGGATGTGAGTGGCAGACACATGTTCTCAGAGAATGAAAGTGCATGTCACGCTTCATCACGCTGGAATGATAGCACATCTGACAGGTCTTCCTGTTAGCCAGGCGTTGGCACAGACAGATGAGACATCAGCCTGGGCCACACAAGCTTGTTAAATTCCTTGGATCTGTCCTCCTCCTCCATGCTGTAATCAGAATTTAGTCATATTTATTAAGCTTCTCAATGTTTTTAATTCAATTATTAAAATCATCTTTGTATAATTAATTACATTAGAACATGGCTAGTGGAAAGTGATCTCTGATAAAAGGTGCTTTTTTCTCCTCGACTGTAATTATCCCTCTCGTTTTTGCTATTGCTGCAATCAGCATCTGAGCACTGACATATTTGATTAAGAGTTATGGTCTTACTTTATAATGTGGGATTTATGGTGCTAAATGCTGATCTGTAGTTTACTCTCTGTCTTGCAGTTGTACTCTGAGTGTCACACTGGAACAGGCCGTTCTTCTGGCCCGCAATCACGGCTTGCCCCCACGATGCATCATGCAGGCCACTGACGTCATGAGGAAGCAGGTATGTTCTGCTGTTTCTTTAGCACTTTTGGCCCTGCAGACTTTTAGACGAGTTTGTTTATTTTGTCCACTAACAATGTCCAACAGTGTATGTACAGTACCATTGAAGGGTCATTAAGATTATTTTAATGTTTTGAAACAAGTCTCTTATGCTGCAAGACTGCATTCATTTGATAAAAAATACAGTAAAATTGTGTAATTGTGATATATATATATATATATATATATATTATCATTAAACAACACATCTGCAATGATGAAATGTGTGTAACATTTTGTGACATTTTAAACGTGACTGTTAAAAAAAAAGATTATCAAGAGGATGAATAATCTTCTCGGTGTCTGTAGACAACTACCCTTTGTGTTCTTGCCCTCTCATATCTCAGTTCTTCTCCTCGATGTCCAGCCGTATCTTTTAAAGTCATAGGAAAGCAGTAGGTGAAGCGTGTGCCTCTGGTGGTGTAATTGCTGATGTTATCAGGATATGATAAGGGACTGACCATGGCTGAAGCACTCACCAGTCAGCAGTGTTGACGCTGAAGCTCTGCACTCACAATCACAGCTGTTTATGCGGCAGTAACGTCCCTCGCTGCTGATCTCGCCTGCAACAGACGCACCTGCCGAGACGCCTCACGTCAAACCAACCTGCAGAGCTATTTGCGGAAACAGCTAATGTTTGTAAAATGTGCAAGATAGATGTTTTCCTTCCTACGTCAAAGCACAGGTGGCCATTTTTCATTTTGACGCGATAGGATTTCCGGAGTGAAGATGCTCTCCATTAAACAGTCCTGTGATTCATATAGCATTGGACATTCATTTAGTTGGCTGCATGTAATGTACAGCAAATGACTCTGGATGTTCTTTGAGTATGTATGTTTTATATCCTAATTTATGATTACAAACAAGTCCATCTAACACATCTGACAAGGCCAGTGTTCGTGAACTGTGACGACGGATGCGGCTTGTAAGTCACAGGTTCAGCTGGCTGGCAGGACTCTGCCGCTGCTCTTTTTCTATGAAATATGAGCCACAGCATCTATGAAGGATGGCAGAGCAGGCTGACTTTTGCAACTGAAGAGGAAAAAACAGATGATCTGTTCAGAATAGGAAATGATTATATGAATTATTTAAAAATAGAAGAAAACCCAGTGCATATTTTAAAAAGTAATTTTCCTTGGTACAGAAATAGAAGTACATTAAAAGAAATTGGATGATTTAATTTCAGTACATGCATGGTGTTGGGCGTATATTTGTGTTTGACAGCACAAAAACTATTTTACATTATATATGTGACCCTGCACCTCAAAAACAGTCCTAAGGGTAAATTTCTCGAAACTGAGATTTATACATCGTCTGAAAGCTGAATAAATAACCTTTCCATTGATGTATGGTTTGGATAGGACAATATTTGGCAGAGGTACAAGTATTTGAATATCTGGAATCTGAGGGTACAAAAAAATCTAAATATTTGCAAATTAAGTTCTTAGCAATGCACATTACTAATCAAAAATTAAGTTTTGATATATTTACATTAGGAAATTTACAAAATATCTTCATGTAACATGATCTTTACTTAATATCCTAATGATTTTTGGCATAAAAGAAAAATCGATAAATTTGACCCATACAATGTTTTTTTTTCTATTGCTACAAAAATACCCCAGTGACTTAAGACTGGTTTTGTGGTCCAGGGTTACATATATGTGTGTGTGTGTGTGTGTGTCTGAAATATACATACATTTCTGATGTAATATATATTAGAATATATTATATCATATATATTTTTACACATTGCATATAGTATATGTATATATATATTTTTTTATATATATTTTATTATATATTCAGATAGCATAAATATATTTCATATAATCTATCAGCCGTGAGGAATTTGTATTTATTATGAATTATTTGTATGAAAACTCAGGCTTTAATGTGTTCATTTATGTTAATTACGTAAATTTTTATATAGCATAATGGAAAAATGTATGCAATTAATCAAGCCTCCTGACCAGTTTGTAAATTAAATCATGAAGAGTTTTTTTACCATCAGCAATTCAAGCTTAAAATAACTCATAATTGCAAAACATTTCCAAACCTCATTAAAAATAAATTAATCTTAGATTAATTATTTGATATATCATGTAATTAATTCAACTAAAACATTTAATCCCAGCCCTAACAAAGCCATTTTAGGTGGATTTGTTTTCATTCCCACTATATATATATTTTTTTTTTTTTACCAGTTTTTTCTTTTTCAAAATTTACCTTTTTTACAATTTAAATTTTTTTTTATTTTATTTTTTTTTTTACTAATTTTCCCCTTTTTTTTAAGTGGATATTTCGTAATACTTCCATAATATACAACACAGCCTAAATGACGCCACTTCTCAACTTTGACCGACTATACACAGAATATGCTCATGCTTATTTAAAGAATAACTGTTCTGACTGGCCTGAAAGTCATTTATAATTATGGCCCTTTTTAGGGAGCAAGAGTGCAGAATTCAGCCAAGAACCTGGGAGTGAGAGACCGCACCCCATCAACAGTGCCAAGGTAACCAGAGCAGCCCACAAACCACTTTCCTCCATCTCTACACACACACATAATTTCAGTCCCCTCACATTCACACTGTGGTTTTCACTAACCTTTCATAAAATGTGCATGAAATAATTTTAGACCTAAATGCCACGGTCCAAAGATTTACACATTTCAGAAAAAAGTTTAGGCCTCCAGAATTATTACAGCACTATATTGACAGGCCTCAAACATTCTGATGAAGGGTTTGCTGTAAACCTCTAAGTGTTTGGAATGGTTGTGGATGAATTTTCATTTTTGACAAACTATTACGTTAAAGCTATTTAATGTGCAGACTTATTTTTATAACAATTTCATCTGTTTTTTGTAAGGTCTACTTTTAAAATAATTTAAAGGGATAGTCGACACAAAAATGAAAACACTGTTATCACTCATGTTGTTCCATAAATTAATGAATGAATGTAACTGCAACCTTTTTTCTGAGAAAGAAAGTCAGAATTGTGAGATATAAACTCTGAGTTTATTTCTCAAAATTCTGAGTTTACATCTTGCAGTTCTGACTTTTGTCTCTGAATTGTGAGTTTACAATTTGCAATGCAGTTTTTTTTTTGTTTCTGCCACAGAACAAAAAAAGGTAATTACAGCTTTTATCTCACATTTCTTACATTTGTCCTCCAATTGCAACTTCTCAGAAATGCGAGTTTATAATTGCCCATCTCGCGAATGACTTTATATCTCACAGTTCTCAGAATTGCTTAATACCAACTGAAAATTCAGCTTTGCATCACAGGACTAAATTACATTTTAGAATATATTAAAATAGGAAACTGTTATTTAAATTGCACTAATATTTCGTAATATTGCTGTTTTTACAGTTTAAATAAATTCAACTTTTCAGAGCATAAATGAATAAAAAAAAAACTATACTAAATAAAAAATCTTAAAAATCATTAAACAAAATTATAATAAATCTTACCAACCATATATATTTTTACATATATGGTACTATATATATATATATATATATATATATATATATATATATATACAGAGTGGACGGAAAGAATA